GCATAATAGGTAAGGGCAAAAAGTGGGGCCAGCCACGAGAAAACCTGGCAGTGACTGTACAAGTGTGGTTGTATGGATTACACGGGGTTTTCCCAGGTGTCTTCATTGCTGGTGGTGCTGGATGGCACAGAGCATGGAGTGCTGGGGTGGTGGAAATTCAGATAATGTTTCTTAGCAGTGACTTCTGGCAAAGATATTATTACACTGTAAGCTGCAGTGGTGTAGAAATTCAGCAAATTCAGCCACCTTTGCAATAGCCAGTGGCCTGTGGCAGAGGAGGGTAGTGGGCTGAGGGCAATAATATCTTAAACTGCTGCAGCTAAGTCTCTGGTCATGTGCTAGCAGGGGGCCTGGGAGATAGTAATTAGCTTTTCAAGTTCACATTAATGCTTAGTGCTCGAAGCCTCCTCTGAGTAAACTGTCTCAGGTCCTTAGATTTTCTAGGTGGTCCTTTTAGAGATTTGCCTGCTTCCCCTCCCCCAAAAAAAAAAAAAAGTTATTTGAGGATTTCAGATCAAGCTGAATAATTGTAATGACCATTTGGAGCATGGTGCTTTCTGTAGCCGTGTCTTAGAGCTGTCACCTTTTGTGAAAATGTTGCCTAAGATGACTTTAAAGTTCACTGAAGCTCCTTTAATCACAAGCACGTGGTTATTTTTGCTCTTATACTCTGCTGATCTGTGTTTACAGTTCTTTTAGTTGAAATGTTACCTGTATTTTTCTGTGTTGGAATTCTTGTTGGAGTCTTTCCCCATCTCAGTATATTTTACTCCTAAATATTTCATTTGGGTTATATATATATATAACCCAAATATATATAAAAAATATGTATATGTGTGTTTGCTGTATTTTATATAGCAAGTGTGGTGGTTTTGAGCATAACTCTTTTTGATGTTAAAAAATGGTATAAAAGCATGTTTATATCATTCTACAAAAAAACCCTGCATCTGTTATTGTGATTAGGAGTTACTAGTTCCTAATGTTGTGGGATTTGATGACTAATACTGATCCATGGTATAGCAGTCTGTGTGTTACAAAGATAAATTTCCTAAAAGAGAGAAAGAAATCGATAGGGAGCTTATTTTGTCATCTTTCAAATATTAAGTCTAATTGTAATGTTCATTTCCAAGTGACACTTGTACACATGTTACATTCATAAAAATTAACAGCTTAACAGCTTGCTTTTTTTTTTTTTTTTTTTTAAATTTTTAATTGGGACCAGGTATTTGTTCTTGCTGGTAGAAGTATAAAAATAGCTTCGATGTGTGGTGTTAGGATGAGTGCATTGCAAGTAGGCATAAAATAAATTGTTACAGACTTAAAGAAAATAAACTGTTACCAACTTTAAATTCTCTCATGAAGTTCAAGCTGATCTGTCTTCAAAATTGGCACATAGCTTTCTTGGGAGAGTAATGGGAAGTGTATCCCTCTATTCAAATGCTGTTGTCTGATGGGTTTAGTACACTGGTTTTCAGGCTTTTTATAGGTGAGATCTGGAGTTTGTGGTGAGCAGGAAAACGTAGAGCATTTTTACTGCAAAAATCTTAACCCAGCTTTTAATACAAGTCTTTGCTTTTGTGCTCGTTGATGGAAGTGTTGTATTCCTAGTGATACCTCATTTCCAAGATAAAAGGAAGCTCATAAAGGTGTTTCACTTGAGTTCATTTAGCCCTTATTTTCTACCAGGCTCACGTAAGCATAATTTTTCAAGGCAGGTAAGCTAATACTTTGGCCCGTGTAGTTTGCAGGCAGCTCAGAAAGTGTTAGATGTGCTTTTTTTCCTTTGTTTCTTTCTTGCTGAGTAGAGATTCAGAGCTCCCTCTTCAGCCTGTCTGCACCTTCATTCAGCAAGGCAGAGGACTTACAAGCTGGATAATAAGGAAAGATGAGCAGGTGTAAAAGTGGAGGAGAGACTTGTGGTTTTTTTAGCAACTCTGAGGTCAAGAAATGCTTCGGTCTGGGCTGGGACTGCTTTTGCAGGTTTTAGAGACAGGATCTCTCCTAGTCAGATGATGCTTTCTGAAAGATCTCTGCATATGTCTGCTAATAATAACAAGAGATTCTGAGAAATTTTGTGGGACTAACAACAAGGTTAATTTTCAGTGTAAGCTTGAAGTGTAAAGGCAGCCAGCTAGTTTCCCATATGTGAAAATTCTGTTGGGCTCGTTATTGCTGTAACTCATCTGTGCTGGGGCTGGTTACCTGTTAAAGGAAAGCTTCTGTCTACATGCTTTTTTCATACTAATAAAAGCAATAACTATATAATACAAACACTGTATAATATATTAATAGTGGGGGTTTTTTCCCCCCTGCCATTCTTATATGCCTGACAGTTTATATACAGGAATTTGAGGATAAGGCTGTCCCAGCCATGTACTGATCCAGCCCTTGCTTTGTTCTGATATTTGTGGAGTTTGAGTATGTACAGGCATGCACATGACAGCTGTGGAGCAGCAGAGTTGTCATAGGTGTTGTGTGCATGATTCACGTGGGGAAAATG